GACTCGATCGCGGACCGGTCTCTGGCACACCATCGGAATCTATCGGGGACAGAATTTCATCCTAGCTCTACGTGTCATTTCCACTTTTTACCGATTGCCAAGTACGATGTCACATCGCGCGCGCGCAACCGGAAAGCAAAAAAAAAACGTAAGAAATGACGAATGAACTTAGGAAGTTCTTTACCGAACTCTTATGACGATAACTTTCGTGAGATAAATTCATTTTCAAATTTATAACATCAGGATCTTAGGCTCTCTTCATTGTTGTTTATTGTAATAACTCGAAACGCTTACTTAGAATTTATTCTATTATTACAACTTAGTTTAATTTAGTTCAATTAATAAACGAGTCTGTTTGCAATGTAACGAAAGAAAACTCCTTAGATGTGTCCAATAATAAATTATGTGGAAGTATATGAAAAGAATTTAAAAATCTTATATTTAATTCTTAATAAATTCGTTACTTGAATTTTTATGCAGAAATCAGAGAGGAATATATACGTGGTAAGTTCCCTTTTCCACTATCGCGCCCGGAGAAACATGATTGTATATCTTGAAGAGCGAATAAAGAGGAATTTCATTTCCTCTCGCAAACTCCAAGAAAGGAAAAAGTGTAATACATACTTGCGTGTTTTCAGCAAACAATTTTCCTCGAGCAACTAAACAGTATTCAGTGGCATCGTAAACGTTAACAATTTCGACATGCTCTAAAAACGCAACGAATATCTTTGTGTAATCCCTGCTCTCAGCTACGTTATTCATTCAAGAATCGTTAAAATGTTTCTGCAATCGACAAAAACGTTTCTTTAAAGTTAACCGTGTTTCACTTCTGGTAATACTAAAAATCATACTTTTATTATTTCGTATTTTTTACAAACAGAAATATATATTCAACTAAAACCAAAAGCAATACTGTTAAGTGTTCTCACTCAAGTTTCGCGAAACAATATATATGAGCTTATAAAGATGGAAAATGATATTCTTACCGAATAGTGTTCATATTAAGAGAGTTTGGCGTGCGCCATCAGGTAATGGGCCCCCAACTTACATAAAACGATTGAAACGCTGCCTTTTCTTTTAGTAAACGGAATTCGAAGAAACGAGGGGAGAGAGAGCAATTGGGAAAAACGATGTCTGCATCGTGATTTTAATTGGCCATGACGATAAACGTAGCACTCAGCAAAGTAGGTAATAACGATTAAAAGTCTAATCGGCTGAAAACTTGTTAACTTTCGCGAAACTGCCGGCATGGGATTCCATCTCACACCGAGCGTTAGCTCGCATAATAAAAGACCTCGGAAGCTGAAGAGAAAATCGAGAATATATTCTAAGGCAGGGAGAGATGAATTGAAATCAATCGACCGTAGATTGGCGTGGCGCGGCAGCGCACGGCAGTTTGTTAGAGAAAAACAAGAAAAAGTTAATTCAGTATTCGATAATTGCAACTATAAACTTTAGTGATTATACGCAGTTGTACATACAGTAAATATGATTTTCTGCCTTTTTCGCAAGTACGAGACACAAGTGTTTTTTTTTTTTTTTCTATATTCAATGTAATATAAAGATATATTGAGAGTATATATATATACGTTAGGAAAATATTTACACGTTGGAGGATCGCGTGAGAAGAACGATGAACTGTAATATCCAGGACACCGTGCGAATCCTCTTTCTCTCCCAACATTTTTCCTTCGTATGAATTCAAGTATCACTATGATCTCTTACCGACGATTCGCGCCAGGCATCCTGATACTCCGAAATTCAAGAACATAATCCGAATCCCGGGAGCACAATTTGAGATCCGGCAACTCGTGTTCGCCGTAAAGCGCAAGAAAGAAGCTGATGGAGGAGGGGGAGAGGGGGAAAAGCGACGGAGTCTCTCGCGCCGGTATAAAATGCTCGCACTTAGCCATCTCGTGCCGGGCGTTTCTGCGATCCGAGAGAACTGGAGGAGAGTCTAGCGGGAGACGTATCGGATGCACGACGAGAGACGGCGCGAGAGCTCCAGGTTTTAGCGAACATCTGCCGGGTGAGCTGATTTCCAGCCGACGATAAGACCTCGAAATGCAAGCCCGAGCGCCCGAGACGCGGCTAGTGTAACCGCGCCAGAATTCATTAGTTAACCCCGCGGCTCAGCATTTTTGCAGACTCATTTCGTAGCGTGTAGCCCCGCACGTAGCCACGTATACACGGAATTGCGCCGTTGAAGAATTTGGGAAAATGCGGGAAGGGAGAAAAAGAGAGAAAGAGAGAAAGAGAGAGAGAGAGAGAGAAAGAGGAAGAGATTGCAACTATCGGCTTGAATACCAAAAAGAGCACCGTACTCCTCGGAGCACGGTGAAAGCACGCGGCTCGCTGCGAGGCGAGATATCGGCATTAATATCGATGCGAAAGACGGCGACAATCGTTCGTAAACTTTACATTGCCTCGTGTTGCATGAGATAACGTAAAGCCGAACGGATAAGCGCGTGACATACGAAATTACATCGCCCAGCAGTACAGATCGGCATTTTTGCTATACGCTCGAATTTGTATACCGGTCTGATTCGCCTTAAAAATACTGAGAAATACATTCGCGAATTTCTCTGTTGTGTTCGCCGCGCCTTGAAAAAAAAAATCATATCGAATTGTATCCCACAGGAACGTCACACAGTTGAAAGTCAATTGAATGGCGTTCGAATTGGGGGGATTTGGGAATCATATTCGACTGCTGTTCATCCATTTTCTCCGCTGAGAGCGCCCATTGATACATGTATTGTATATGTATAACTTATATAAAAATCGAGGAATACGTGCGCGCGGACTATTTTTTTTTTTTTTTTTTAATTTCACTCCGGCAAACTTTACCTTCCGACGAACGATATACGCACAAAAATAGAGTAATCGAGCGAATTATAATTCCCCGAGCTAACAGAGGGTGTATATCGACGCGTGAGAATAATGGGCGTGGAGTTATCTCACACTTCCTATCTCCGAAACGGTTCGGTCAGTTGGAATAATGCATGAGTAAAACTCGCTCAAAATATAAGGCAGATATATCATATCAGAACTAATGCACCATTGAACCTGCGGGATGATTACATCGCTGATAAGGAAAATTTTATCAGACTTTGAATTGAAGGCATATCGTCGAAAAAGTTAAATCAACTTTGCACTTCTGCGAGTTTACGTTATAGAGTTAATTATCAAATGTTTGGTGTCGAAGACGGAAGAGAAAGTTTATCTTTGAAATACATATAGATTGTTCGATAAATTTTAGATGCTTTATCGAGACAGTTTGCCAAGGTATCGGGGAAAAAATCGCGCCCAAGCTATTAATTCGCTAATTTCCACTGAAAAAGAAGTATCTCAAAATTCATCGACAAACGTATCGCTGAATTTACATCTTTATAAACCTTTAATCCTCATTACACTTTCACTATCCATCGATCCATATCTAACTAGTTGTATAAATGTGAATATATTTTTCCAAGAATAGTAAATTTTTTATTATAATTCTGTACGCTGTTAAATTCGTAATGTCAAATTATACTTAATTTAAGTTAATTTCAATTATTCAAATAAGTCGCCATTCCTATATTAAATCGTCTATAACTCGAAATTAGTCCGCTCCGTTTCAGTAAATCGTTAATTTAACAAAATCAATGAAGTTTAAAATAATAAGGTTTTATGTTAAAATATACCTAATAAATTTTGACACACATGGTTAAAAATAACAAAATGTTGTTTAAATCAAAAGGTATTGATTTAAATTTCATCCTTAAATATTTAACAGTGTACAAGCAACTTGAAAAAATCCCCAAAAAATTCTGGATACGCATTTTGCGAGCCGTTACGCTATCGATAAAACTGTTGCTGACGGAATCAATTCCCCTCTACGCTAATTAAACCGTTGCGAAAAGTCGCGCGAGTAAGTAGCGTGTCCACGTGCGTACACAGACGACCCGCATACCACATCACGCGCGCACGTAAGCTCGAGCTAAAGAGGCTCGCCGAGCCTCGAGAGTAAAGTTCGCGTATACGCGATAAGTTCACCTACGCGATTCTACATGACATATAATACGTGGAGCGCGCGAGAGGACAATCTCGGGCCCCGCGTCCGTCCGTCCGTCCGTCCAGAGACTCGCCCACGGCTCCCCTCGCATTTGCGACAGCCGCAATCGGCTCGCCGCGAGTGCAAGAGCGTAGTACATCAATATGAGGATCGCGAGAGAGAGGCGAGAGAGATGCGTTTGGGCGCGACCGCGTGCCGAGTCTCGCGTGCGGCGCATGCGCGCGCCGCGCGTTCCGCTTAATCGCGCCGTCTCGCTTCAATCGACGCGCAACGCATCACGCCGCGGTAAGTCTTCATCGCGCGACAACGAAGGAGCCTTCAGCCTCTTCTCTCCGTTCGACCAGCGGCGTCTCGCGCGTATAGCACCTCTCCGCTCTCGTGTATCTACGCTCTTTGTCGCGCCGCTGGGCGCGCGTTCGTTATCCTTTTCCACGACGACGTTTCTCTCGCTCTCGCTCGCGCGCCTCCACTCACCTGCCGCCATCTTCGTCTGGTCAACCGCGCGCATCGCGGTTCTCTCCGTCGTAACACCGGCCGCGGTCTCCATCCCGCTAAGCTCGTCACCTGCTCTCGTTCTCGCACTCGCACTCGTCCTCGTCCCTCTCGCACTTTACTCTATCGCGCACTACCACTACCACCGTCGCGACCAACGGATCTCTCTCTCTTTCTCTCCGTCTCTTTCACTACCGCGCGCGTACCGTAGCGGTGGGGATCGGAGTATTCGGAGTTCGGAGTCACGGAAGTAGTCTCGAGTGGCGGGGGAAGCCGGGCGGGCAGCCGAGTGGGAGCGAACACAGCCGAAGGGAAGAGCACGGTAGGGGAACGGAGCGGTGGGGGGAAAGGGTCGCCGCGGCGGCCGACGCAGCGGCGAGAGAGAGGGAAAGAGAGAGAAAGCGAGAGAGGGGCGGACGACCCCTCTAGCCGGGCGATGCCACTCAACTGAATCCCCGCTCCGTTCTCACGGCAGTCTGACGCCGGTCGCGCAGTCAGCATGGCTGGATTTTCGCGCAGTTTTTCGCCGGTCCTCCCGTGCTGAGGGCTCCGGACGGACCAGTACTCGAGCTGACTCGAGCAACGTCGCACTTCGCTCGCCGTCGTCACGCGCGGCGTCGGTCTCTCGCCGCGTTAACGTCGTCACGTTCCGACTTTCCGTCGCGAGGCGCGAGGTAGCCTGGTGCCGTCCGACACGCCAGTTTTGACCGGGAACCGAGAAGCCCCGAGAAAGGACGCCAGATGCTTGAACCTAACCTCCAAGCGCGAAGAAGACTGCCCCGAGGGAGCACGCTCGCAGCCGCAACGACTCGCGTCCAACGTGGCTAACTTCACGCGGGATCCGCGATCTCTTGCGATCGATTTCCGTGTGCGCGAGGCACGAGCGAGAGACGTCGTGGACAGAGAGAGAGAGAGAGAGAGAACAAGACGCCGACGAGCGGCTGAGTTTCCGTGAGTTGCGTTCTTCATCGTCGGAACTCTCCGGGAGGCATCTCCGTCTCCGGCTGTACCGTGTGGTGATCGACGGCGAGAGGGGCGAGGGAGAGACGCGGTACGCGGTAAATGACAGTGCAGTGAGAGAAGGGACGGAAAGAAAGGCTCCGCTTCGAGGCGGGCAGTAAATTTTGACCTCGAGAGGAGAAGAAAGAAGAGATCCCCCCGGTCTCAGGATTCCCTGCATCTCGTGTGCGCGGGGACTCGGCCGAATTCGACGAAACTTTCCCGAACGGTGAGTCTTTACGATTTTTTTTGGTCGAAACGCGCGCGCCTTCGAAGATTCGACGTGACAGTTCCGGCAGGCCGATGCATTCTCGTTTTGTTTACTAGCCGGACATTTAAACGCGCGTCGTTCAATCGAGCGTGACGATACGACGCGCCGCATAAATAATGACCCACGACGACGCTGAATCGTAAACAAACCGCCGTACTTTTCAAACACGTGACGACGGACTTGGCGTAGCCAAGTGTGCGTGATTGCAGATACGATTATTATCCGGACCGGTGCCAGATGTCGATTATAGGAGGATAAACGAGGATAAATAAACCGGATAATTCGTTTAATTGCCGATAAATAATCGGCATTTTTTATCGCGCGCACCGGTAATCGTTAAAATTTTCTCAGCGTCTCATTCGAACGCAGTTTCGTATCGAACGAATAAAAAACCCCGTCACAAGATCGGTTACATTTAATATTAAACCCGCAACGATTCCATTGTCTGTTTTCCGCGAAGAAACGTAATCTCTCTTTTTCTCTCGTTCGACGCACGTGTGTCACCTATACGTCTTTTTAACGATAGATATAAATCGTGCTTTTTATCTCGGAGCACGAGAGACGATAACTGAGATTCGCTTTATTTCTTTGGGCGCAAATCATCGTCGTTCATTTCCAGGAACGTTCGTTCTGTTCGGCCGAGATTTCGGCGTTGCCGCTTAATAAGAGAGTTTGAAAATCATCGCCGAACGAACACGACTTGCCGACACGTTTGTGTTGCGCGAGTCATAATCTCCGATGAACCCGAGACACGGGGTGGGGATCGCGAGGAGAGGCGACGCGTAGTCGCGAATCCGCATCATTAAGCCGCTGCTGGCTGTGCGAGATTCTTGGATAACGTCGACCACGTCATCGGATCGGGAGGAAGACGAATGTGTCGCGATAATGAGACCGTAAATTCCACAACTAGCTCGCGGCATTAAGCCGCGACCGTCGCGAACCGCGAATAGTCCGTCTTCATCACGATGAATTTAATTAACCGTGACTTGCGTAATTAAATATTCGGTCGCGCGCGCGAAAGACACGCGCTTCTCATCTCCTTACATATTCCCGACGAACGGGAATGGAAAATGAATTCCGCGATGTATATTTCACATATTTCGTACCCGATCTCGTTCCGCGACTTATTTTTAGACGCGAGAGAAACTGAATAAAGCGCGGAAAGTGCGATGTATTGCTAATTATTCATTTGTCGCAACACTGCGCTTGAATTACCATCGGAGCGAATAATAGCAAATCGAGATTGGCAATGAGACGTCGAAATTAGTTCCAAATAGAAACGAATAACCAAATTTATCCTCTATTAACGATTTAAAATTACTTTTATATAGGTAAACGAAAGAGGGAACGTGATATGATACTATAAAATTAGATTGATATTGAAGTAGCGGTAAAAAAAAAGTATACTCGCGTACGATATAGATCGTATTTTACGTGACACGGCGCATTCGCTGTAATTAGATGCCGATGCATCTGGCGAGGTGGGTTTTTATGCTTTCTCGTGATGGAGCGGACGGTTTACTAGCGACATATTATGTCCCTCTGCTTTCCTGGCCGAGTGAAAGCATCTTTTCCGCGCTGACATGCTCGCCTTTAAACGCCGCTCTTCTTTAATACGATGTCGTACGAACCCTCGTCAGGATCTACACCGCGGGGAGGTAGTAAAAATTCCACGTTTGTAGAGTACTTTTCAGTAAGAGGAACAGAGAAAGAGAGAGAGAGCAGGGTAGGCGAATAGGTTGAAAAAAGCTGAACAAGGAACGTCCGCTAACACATAGCAAGGGAGACTCTAAAGCACTGTTTTTAGCTACGCAAAATGCGAATTCAACCTGCAGCTTGTTTTCCTGTTTCTTTCGTTTAAGTCACACGTATCACGTGCCTCTCTCTTATGTTTTAGCGACATTATGAAATAGGATTAAAAACTTACAATTCGTGGAGCAGCTGTTGGAATTTGTGCAAATCTAAACGATTGCTTATATGTATTGAGTGCGATTAATTCGTTATTAACCCTAGTTAGCCACACTTATTTTCGAGTCCTTATTTCGCCACACTCCGGTTTGTAAGACCGCTCGACTTTGTTGCATTGTCACTTTCAGTCTAATTAATATTTTCAAGCTTGTAATGGTAATGTAGAAATAATTGGAAATGCAGAGTCTGAATAAGATTGTTTGTGATATTATAATATCAAGGAAACTTCACTTGAGTTTAAACTGAACTTATATTATAAGGAAACTAGAAGATTGTGTTATTATGTGAAAACTAGAAAACCGAAAAACGTTTAGCGGTCAAAATGCGAATTCAACCTGCAGCTTGTTTTCCACTGGACCAGAGTGTGGCGAGCTAGGGTTAAAAATTCGGCTATTAATTTGCTGATTTTCCTCTTTATTATTGAGTGGGGCTTTGAAATATGAATTAGTGACGATAGGCGGAAATCTTACAGCAATGTCAGCCTATTTAAAACAGTTGCGTCACGCCGTCTCGACATCGTGATGTAACATTCATAACGCCGTTGAATTGTAATGAGCTGATGTCAATCGTTTTATTTCGCTCGATACAACTCGATACTCAGTAATCCAGTCTTGAGCGCTACGCACTCGTTACTATCCGGGCAAAGATATTTATTTTCCGCCTTAAAGGGAATTTATCTCAACGTTACCATCGAACTCGGATAGGATTCGTTCATCGACTCCCGTATTCGCCGATCGTTACCGAAAATTGTTCCCGCGCGAGAGACTTCGACGCCGCATCTCGTGTGCCGTCGACCTTCCGGGCATGCCGCGGAGTCGTGGAAATTCCGGAAACGCCGATCCTGGCTGGCGAGCCGTTTTCGTGACATTTATCTCGCGGCAAGTTCGTGCTAACATTGCACACTTCTTGCCGGAGTTCGGATGCAACGCCCGGATAATTCGCATCGAGTTAGAAAAGAGGAGGAGAAGGCGGAGAAGGATGAGGAGAAACAGGCGAAATGTGGGAAAAGCTACAGAGAGAGAGAGAGACTCGTTCTTTTTCGGGTTTTGATACGAATTACCCGAGTTTGCCTATCCTGCCCTCAAGATTACCCCCTTTTCACGGTCGCCTTCGGCGCGGGAGACGCGCTTCCCGCGTGATGCGAAAAGTTTGAATGGCTTTCGTTACCGGATTTTCCGGACGACGCGCTTTGCTACATGCAAATTCGGAGTATTTTCCGCGCGCGCGCACGCGCGCGACGGTCTTTAGGGACTTTACGAGGCGCTCCGAATTGGGTTCGCGAGCCCACGGGATTTTACCGGCTGTAACAAGGTACGCGATGTAAGAATCGTTGTAATCCATATTATCCGCATCGATCTATCCTTAGCTGCCTCGCCAAGCATACGTTACTTACTAATCAAATGATGCGAATGAATCTCGACGTATCTGAGCTCGACAATTTGCGTGCAACGCGATTCTTATGCAGTCCGAAGCACGTATACTATTAATGATTCGTCATACCTGCCTCATGTTCAATTAGAATTCAGCATCCGCGCTATGAGTAATGATGCATGCGGCTTGATACAACGATTACGAGATTATACGATTGCTTTAGGCTAGGCCAATGGCGTACAATTAGCTAGGAATTTACTTGTTAGAGATATTTTTAAATCAAATCTTACCCTTTTCTCCGTAAGGCTGTTAAAACAAATGAATAATTTTATTGTTGTTACATGTAATTACAAACTTGCGATATTAATTAAATAAAAATAATTTGCATCCTCAAAAGCAATTAAATTATTTGATTAAAAGTATGAAAAAGATATATAATGGATAAAATATGACAGGAAAGGTTCAATTTTATATTTAAAAATAATTTATTTATTTCTATAAAACCGATTGAAAACCACCAGAAAACTATTTAAAGCATTATTGTCTAAAGCTAATAACTTAATAATAAGCGAAACAGGATTGATATAAATCTTATTATAATAAATTAGAGAAGATGCCATTTTTGGTCGGGCTGGATCTTGATAGCCCAATAATAATATTTCTAAATGTTGTATACTTTTCCAACACAATCAGTAAAATGCGCACTGATTATATGTCGGTCTTAAAATACACAGAAATATTATTATTATTAGAACCTGAAGAGGGTCGAATTTGGACCGAAACGTTGTGTTTTATTATTAATAAATTTGCTAGTTATGGTCAAGGAAGTTTGGTGATATTAAATTATTATTAGACTATCAAGATCTAGTCTGACCGAAAACGGCATATTCTCTAATTAATTGTATAAAGCCAATATAACTCAGTTATTTATTTTGAAAGCGATACAAATCTAATTTCGGAACAAAACAAATTTTTATGAGATATCGATGCGTGAAATATATATAAACCGATTTTACCGTCGATTTTTATAACATTCTCAAAAATAGACTAAAATAATAAGTTTATTTAATAGAATAATAAGTTTATTTTCTAATTTGTTATCGAGAAAGCAATTTAATTGAACTTCAAATTGATTTTAAATTGAATTCTAAAAGCTGAAACTGTATGAAACTTGATTCTTAGTTATATTTTGCGACTCCACACAACGGTAATTTAATCAGGACTTAATTATTTGCATATTTAATATTTCGAAAGTCTTGTTACAAATACATAATAATAGTTTCTGCTAAAGACACATAAAATTAAAATAATAGTTAAAAATAATTTGCGGTATAGTTGAGATACCCTGTATAGATATAACTTTTCTTCAGAAAACCATAAAATAACATGGCGCAAGTTTATTTATTACAGAAATGTCATAATAGAGAAATATTTTTACTCGAACGCGGCATGTGTCATATTTCGCCAAATAGAAAATGTTCTCGAGCAAAGAAGTAATCGCCCATTACAAATTCGATCGGCGCGTGTCATTATGCTGTGCCGATCGTGATTAGCGTGTCGTGCGCCGAGCTAATTGGCTCGCTGTCGAGTTGCGTCCGCGCTTACGTGCGTCCGCGCTT